AAAAAAAAAAAAAAAAACAAAAAAAAACAAAGCAAATGCAGTCTGGTGGTTATTAGCTTCTATTACTAAGGTATCTCAGCACCAGCGCTGGCCCGTCCTAGCCAGTGAGGGTGCCTGTGTCAGGCTGCTCATCCCCCAGGATCAGGGGCCCGACATTGCAACCTGGGGGCACCAAATCCAAGACCAACCGTTCGATGGGGAAACGAAGCCATACTTACACAGCGAGTCCCCATTCACACTGAGGTGGCCATCCTCTCTGAGAGACTCTTTTACATTCATTCGCCCACAGTAACTGGGATGAGCTGCAATACACGCAAAAGAGGCTTAGAAAACTCAGCTATGCTGAGCCCGGTGCTCCTCACACCCCATCGCCAGCATGACCAGAGGGCATGCCAGGCTCGCCACTGCCAGAGGTTCAGAGCAGCGGATGGCGCCTACGACGTAGGGGATAGGGCTTTGGTTATGCGAAGAGATGTGAAAGCTGGCTAAATAATACGTGCAGCCAATACAATGCAAAGACCGGCCTGCGTAAAGTGCTTTTGAAACATGATTCTAAATACCATTCAAATAAACTGTTTTTGCTCTAAAAGGGGAATATAAAAACCGAAAGTTGAGTATATTAACATTTCATTTAAAAAATAACTTTAAAAATGTTTAAGCATTGATCAACTTTGAGAAAACTGAACCACATACAGATACATTAAAACTTGCGTAAGCTCCTGTAATAAAAAGATCCAAAGAGAGCAGCCAGGAGGAAGTCAGTGTCAAGACCAAAAGAGGAGGAATGTAAAGGAAGCGCCGCACAGGAAAAAGCAAAGTGTTTTCTCCACCTTGAAAGCATTATTTGGTGGAAAAAGGAAAAAAAAAATTATTTAAATACCTTTTGATTCATGGTTTTTTGAGTTATAGCTTTTTGATTCATCACTTTTCAATGTGTAATTTTCTGATTCATAATTGAGCTTCATTAAAACCACTTGAAAAAGTTGAACTAAGAATGATGAAAAAGATGACGAAGTGTATTTGGCCAGCCACAAAATCCTATCCATGTAGAAAGCCGAACCGCCTATCAAGAAACCGTGAACACATGTTACTTCTTCCCATAAAGCCAACATTTACTCCCCTGATAAGTCTGATAGCCAAATTGTTCATTTCAGGCAAAGCAGGAGCAAAGCACTTTTAAAATGGACACCAAAGACACCCCTTGGGAAGAGCCGCACCGATAAGCGACACCCTGAGGAGGTGGAGCTGTGGAGCAAACCCCGCTCACGCCAGTAATTCGCCTACAAAATGTCCAATCTGGGGTCATTTCACCCAATATTGTCCATATATACACAATATTCAGATATTGCCAAAGAGCCACCTTCTTAACGACCTCTGACCCACCAATTTGGAAAGGGCTAATGGGACCTCCAGAGCACTCTCAGGACTTCTGCAGCACCTCAGCTGGGAGCAGCAGACACCATTGGAACTGACCACTTAAGGGACATCCACGCGAGAACACCATGCCGTCCTCGGCTACTTTCCAGTCATGCCTGTAGCTTCGGGAGACACAATGTGATGCCTGATACTCTTTCTGTTAATGTAAATGTGTGGCGTGATATTCTACAAGTCATAATTGCTCGAAATTTTTATTCTAAAAAATAAAAAGTTTCTTCATGGAGCAGAGCACAGAAGCAGGCTTGCATGTACACCGTCAAGTCCAGCAGGCCTGGTGTCTGTCCCAGAAAGTGCTTCTGACCCGGCTTTTCCCCACGGTCCCTGCCGAGCACAACAGTGCTATGGTGGGGGGCATGAGGCTACCTTGAACTGTGAAGTCTCAGTTGGAATAATTTTAAAGAAATAAATTTAGAGCTTTATTATTTTCAAAAGAATAGTCAAAAAGCTATTTGTGAATTGGAATCCTACACTGAAAAAACATAAACCTGGGGTGCTTAGCCCAGGGCCAACTTAATTTTACACCTCAGCACAAACTTTATATAGAGGATAGTAAAAATAGCAAAACAGTCCTATTACGAGGTAATGCGGCTGGGCACAGTGGCGCATGCACTTTGGGAGGCCAAGGCGGGAGGATCTCTTGAGTCCAGGAGTTTAAGACCAGCCTGAGCAACATAGTGAGATGTCATCTCTACAAAAAAAATTTTTAAATTAGCTGGGCATGGTGGTGCACACCTATAGTCTCAGCTACATGGGAGGCTGAGGCGGGAGGATCACTTGAGCCTAGGAGTTCGAGGCTGCAGTAAGCTGTGATCATGCCACTGCACTCCAGCCTGGGTGACAGAGTCAGAACCTGACTCTAAAAAAACATTAAAAAAAAAAAAAAAAAAAGTGACAGAGCAAGATCTTGTCTCTAAAAACAATAAATAAAAAAAGAATGAAGTTAATGTCTATTAACTTATAAAATGAAAAAAATTGTAAAACTACATATATACATGCACACTATGATAGCATTTAAGTAAAGACAAAAATAAAACTACATAGTTCTATGAGTACATAAAAACAGAATTCAGATGATGGCTGTACAACACTGTGAATATACTAGATGCCACTGAAATGTACATTTTTTTATTACTTTTTTTTGAGGCAGGGTCTTACTATGTTGTCCAGGCTAGTCTAGAATTCCCGGGTTCAAGCAATCGTCTGTCCCCTCCTCAGCCTCCTGAGAGGCTGAGATTACAGGCACACACTACTACTCCCAGCTCGAACGGTACACTTTAAAATGGTTAATTTTACGTTACCTGAATTTTACCTCATTAAAAAAAAAGCAGACGCAGTCACACTGAGCCATGCCTGCCACAGCAGTTCCCTCTAGAAGGGGACTGGACTGGGTGGGGAAGGACTCACTTTATCTGTACTATTTGGAGATTTTTACAATGGGAATTGCAATAAGAATATAGGTAAAAACAAAAATAAAATGTGGAGAAAAAGTTAGTTTTTGTGCAAGAAAGGCCATACGTTGAGCCACCAAGCCAAAAAAAAAAAAAAGGCCACACATGTTTTAAGTAAATACAGTTATATGTAACAATTCATGCAATATGATCCCAACTATGTAACAGGGTATCCCTGGAAGGCCAGGCCTAATGCATCAAGTGTGGTTATCTCCGGCTGGTAGGTTATAGGTGATTTTTATTTTCTTCTCTGAACATCTCTGTGATTTTCAAACGTTCTTTGATAAACACATTTTGGAAATAGATTTTTTACAGGGTAATAAATTAGTGTTGGCTCCACAAGTCACTGTTACAGTCTAAGACAGCAAGGCAGGTGTTAAGAGAAGAAGCCCAAAGCAAAAAAAAAATGCAACTTGTTTTCTGTGCAATGAATTTCAGGAGGCTACTACCAAAACCACATCACTACTTTTCCATCTCAAGATACACCAGACTACATGGCTAAGCTTGGGTCCATGACCCCTGGCACTATCAAAGAGTGGCTGGTTATCCAGCGACACATTTACTACGATTAAGGAGCCTCAGGAAAACAGCAAATGTTTCCACAGATATTGAACCATCTGTGGACATTGTTATTCTGCCAGGTTACAAGTTTGTGGAACATGTTTGTACTGTAAGAAAAATGTCATGTTCAGCCTATCAACGGCATGCTTCAAAACACACCTCAATAAACCCTGACTACACAGAACCTGCACATGACATAGGTAAGTTAGGTCCTGTACGCAGCACTGCGCTGGCCCTGCAGTGCTCATGAAGCACTAAGAACTCCCGGGAGCAGGGCAGCGTGAGGGCACCTGGAGTGAAATGCCTCGCTCTCTCACTCACCAGCAAGTGTCCTAAACCAGCTCAACCTTGTCACTTGACCACAGAATGGAGCGCTGCGATCACCAGTGCAGAGCGCCTGGCCCAGAGCGAGCGCCTGAAGACGCTGGTCGACATCGAGGGGCCCCAAGCAGATGGTCCACAGGTGTAACGAGGGAGACACCACCACTCCGGTTCTGCTGCCTCTTCCTTCCCCTTTCGTACTTTCTTACTCTGTGGTCTTAATGCTAACAGTGCCAATAACACTACCACAGACACACCCAGAAGCTTTGGCCCCAAGGATAAGATGGTAAAAATGAAAATAAGATACTAAAATAAAAAAATAAGGACTAAATTCTTATCCCTGTTACCGTCCTTCATCATGTCCAGTCATTTGAAACCATGGGCCGAGCGCCCGGACCTAGGTGCAGGTGGGAACACAGTGGTGAGACAGACACAGCTCGCCCTCCTAAAGCTTCCAGCATCTCCACGTACCCCAGGACTTGGCCTCAACAGACAAAGCACTGAGGACCTGGGCAGAGGGCAGCACATGCACGACGTCATGCCTGCCCACCGCCTCTTCCTGCTGCAGGTGAGAATGATCACCGGTCAGGTAGTCACGAAAGGTGTGGCAGCCCCAAGCCTTCAGGGACATCACAGCCATGCCTAGACCCTGGAAAAGGGTCTGTGGCTCTGCTCTCGCCTGTGGGCTCAGAAGGAAGCCCCGGCAGTCCCAATGCCCACCTTCCTCCCTGGCCACCTCTAGCACCTCCATGGTCAAGCGAGTGGAGCCAGGACGCTGAAGCCCACCTCCACTGCATGCCAGGCAAGCCTGCCCACTCGGGGTCCCTGCAACGACTACTGCCCTCCCAGACAGAACCACGCCTCTGTGTCCCTCCCAAGTCCAAACGTTCTCCGAGGGCCGCTCTGTCACTATAACCACAATGGCAGTGACCACAGAAAATATTTTTAATGTACAGGTGAAAGTTCCACCATAAAGCTATTCCTTAAGTCATGTGAATATCTGTGCTGTTTTATAAAAATAAAGGAATGCCATCTGAAAGCGGCCACACAGTTTTAGAGTTTCATGTAAGTAGGAATTTTCTTTTGTTTACCTAGTCTAAACTGATAGAATTTCAAATACTCCTAGGTACAAACATACTAAGCACATAAAGTGTAAGTTGAAAGACGATGAGCAGGACAAAGCTAATTTCTCAATCTTTTAAAGGATAACTTTGAGTTCAAGGCTATAACAGAAATAGTGCAGGCACTAAGCCTTATAAAATCCGGTTTCTAAAAAGAAAAGGAAATATTTGGACAGTAAATCTTTTCCTAACTTTTAAAAACAGTGAGACTTACGTTTTTGATCCCTATCCCTAGAGTAAATCCTTGACGTCAGCCCGTGGGCAGTGGAGTGTGCCGTGAGCGCGTCCCTGCGCTCGGAGAGCATGCTACAGTCGCTGCAGATGTAGCCATTGCCTGCGGCGGCTCCCGCTGCCAGGTCACCATTTCCCTGAATGGCAGCTTTATTTCCACCTAAAGTTTTCAAAAAGTAGACAGAACCTGTTTATCACAATCTGCAGGTACCTAACTGAAACTTCTATTTTGAAAAGTGTGGGGAAGAAAAAGGACTAAAATAATTACCTTTAAGATCACCATCATCGTCAAGACCTAAAAAAACCACACACGTTTTTTAGCGGTTAAGCTCGACTTATCAAAACAGAACAAAACCCACCAAAAACAAAATGTAAAGGTTAATTACAATGGTTAATAAGTCAGCACTATGGCACTGGTCAAGATTTATTTCCTGAGATGCCCAGAGTTAACAGAGATTTGTCCAGATAAATGCAGACGCTACGTTGTGATTCGAGGCGAAAGTGTATCTTTGGAGAAAACATGTGCACGTTCCAACACACGCGACCTAACCTGAAGAGGTGAGTAGGAGCATGAGGGGACTGGACAGAGGGAAGCCCGCAGTCAGTGGCACGTGTATCTTGCTGCCTGGTAACTACTCTCACCAGCTGAGCAAAGCAACCGGCACACAGACCAGTGCCTCCTATAATTCACACACATCTCTGGAACTAATCTGCATCCTCTGTCTCAAAGGGCCAATCAGAACATAAACCGAACACAAGCCACTGTGCATTCCTCATGGGAGTGCTCCCTCCCTGTGCACAGCGTGGTGACGTCACACATTTCAATAGCAAGGATGGGAATCCCACGGCCTCTGCCCCAAGCCAGCATGTGCTCAGCTACGGCGTGTCTCGGCACTGACTCCTCCTTGCTGGAGTGCTCTCGAAAGGCTGCCTTGTTGCTTAGAGCTTGCTGGAAACACACTGGTGAATTTTTACATTGCCTTGTTTAAACATCCCACAAAAAGAATGCATTTGGGAAAACAGACTACCTGGTTGCTTAATCTTTCAAGCCACGCAAGTACTTACACACTAGCACAACCGGGCGGAGCAGCAGATGGACAGCACCCAGGGCACTGCCTGCCAGGTCTGAAGGCAAGCCCAGAACCTCAGTGCTGCTCCTCCCTGCCCCAGCCAGGAACCAGCAAACACCCTGGCCACAAACTCCTTCTCGCCAACCAAACTGCAGCTGACGCGATCTGCATCTCCCAGCAACTCACCCCAGAAATGGTCCACTTTGGTCTGCTCACGAATCAGAGACTCGTCCAGCACAGGAGGCCGCAGAGACACAGAACCCTGCAGACTCTTAGAACCGCCTTGGCTGGCACCTGAGGATGTGACCTGCCTGGACACGTGGTTGATACTAAAAGCCACTTTGCTTGCACTTCTGCGTTGTTTTACTGTTCTAAAAAAAGAAAAAAAGAAAGAAAGAAAAGAAAAAAGAAGTTTATAGGCTTTTCCTAGTAAATACAAAATGATTAGATTTTACCAAAGTCTTTGAGAGTAAACATAGCATTTTAAGGCAAACCATTTTCTTATGCCTTTTCTGTTGCTATGAATCATCTATTAATTTTAAAAAGGGATTTTTAAGCTGGAGTTCAAGAACTCCCTCTAAAATGTTAAACATGAAATAATTTTCAGATTATTTTGGGCCCCATGACCCAAAAATGGTTTTATCTAAAAACAAAAATGGGCCAGGCATGGTGGTTCACACCTGTAATCCTAGCACTTTGGGAGGCTGAAGCAGGAGGATCGCTTGAGGCCAGTAGTTCAAGACCAGCCTGGGCAACATAGTGAGACCCCGTCTCTACAAAAAATTTAAAATAAATGAACCAGGTGTGGTGGTGCACACCTATAATCCCAGTTACTCGGGAGACTGAGGCAGGAGGATCCCTCGAACCTAGGAAATTGAGATTACAGGGAACTATGATCATGCCACTGCATTCCAGTCTAGGTGACAGAGCAAGACCCTGTCTCTAAATAAATACATAGATCCTAAAAATAAAAAACTTTATGATTTATAAATGTAACCCCCCCTTCTCAACAAGTAACTGTATGCACATAAATATCCTATGCACTTTTTAGTCACAGTAAAGATGGAACTGTGTTAAATACAGCAAGAATAGGCAGTCATCTAAAATGATTTCTGCATTCTATTTACCACAAATAATAAAGCCCTGAAAAATGAATGTCTTACAAACATTCCCCACCAGGTAGGCAGTAGGACACGCAGGCCAACGGAAGGAGACCTCCCCGCTCCGAGGGAACCAGTGGTGGGAGAAGGCAGCAGTGACACACAACAGTGGAAAACCTGCCCTCACGAGCGCAGAGCAGCAATAGCTGGTCTCAGAATCAGCAGGCCACGCAGAACCCCAGCTTCTGCATTACTTCAGCATAACCAACGTGCTGACGTGGAGCTGTGCACCGCAATCAACCGGTTCTCAGTGGCTACCAAGAACCCATGAGTCTCCCAGGTGGCAGTCTGGGCTCTGGACATTGCTCTGGATAAAACTGCCCAGGTGACCGTGGTGCTGGGAAAACACCTGCTGGCAGGCACTACGACAAATCCTTGTACAGTGCCACTTGACCTCAGCAATCCCACCACCCCTTGCCCCAGCCGCTGTCTCGTTCTTGAGACAGATCAGATATGCGTCACTCTTACGCAAGCAGCGTAACTGAGGCTGTCCTGGTTACGCACTCGCTACATGGATGAAGACCTTGCAGACTGTGCTCCTTCCCGTGAAGAAGTGGTGACAGGCACAGGAGAGCTCAGCATCACAGATGCAGGCTAACACTAGACCTCACATGTGTGTGTCAGTGAACACACAGATTCTCATAAACAGACTTAAATCATGAGCGATGCAGAGGTCATCCACCACACCCTGTGGCAACCTTCTAGGACTGCCTCCTTCCCCGACAGTGGAAGCTCAGTCCCAGCACAAGATGACGAAGCTCTAAACCGTGACCACACTGTGCCGTGGCCGGGTGTGCTTGTCGTCTCGCAGAACACCCATACCCAGCCACCCACATACTCCAGAGTGAGTTTCAGTCTCTATCTGTAGCAAGGCCATGACTGTGTGTCGTGGATCTGCGTGTGTGTACACGCACGTACACACACATCCTTAAATTTAGGAGAGTGAGCACGGTTCTACACACCAGAAAAAGGTTGTCGTGTAGTTTTATCAGGTACCAGAAATCACATGAAGACAAAGCTAAGTGGCACTCACCTGGCCACTCCATCCTGGAGGGAGCCAGCGCTGCTGGTGCAGGAGTGAGCGCCCATGGCCTGGCTATCCCCGGAGGGGTGTGCCGTTGTGACCAGGCGCAGACTACGGCGGGACATCCTCGGAGAATCAAACACAGGGTCCAGTTTGTGCTCCGTCTCAAAATCCAAAGCATCAGAAGAATAACTTGAACTAGAAGGAAAAAGCTTGTCAGAGATAAATAATGCTTAGAGTTTTCAAAGAAATTTTCAAACAAAATGAATAAATTATAAACGGAATATATAATCTATCATGAATTTTAAAGAGCAACTATTATTGTGTGGCGTTACCATAAAGCAAGAGTAAGATGGCACATGAGCCAGCCAACACCTTACACCTGCTCCAACCATGCTGACTTCACGTGCAGCTGTTAACAGCAGACTCCACAGATGCCTAGGGATTGAAATCTAGAACCTACCCCCGGAAGAACTGCTTCGGGACATGCTAAATCCCTAAGAATCCCCACCTATGGGTAATTATGTCAATAATATTAAAAATCAGAGTACATTTACTAGTAGACACTATTGATAAAGCAGTTAATAAGATAGTGACCACAACATGAAATTTAATATGCCAGCACGTCCCTGGGTGAATCCTGGTGAGCAGCGAGGGGAGAGCCAGGTGGCTGAGCATCAGCGCTAAGAACCAACTCAGAAGTATTTTGAGTCTGTGACAAAGAAAAGCCACTTCCGACATCCCCCACTCAATTACATTACTAAACTAACATAATTAAATGAAAAAATGTACTCTTGTGTGTGACGTTACAATAAGTTTTTCCAAATCAAAAAACACATACTGAGCACCTATCCCACTCCTTGCTGGGCGGGTGTCACATGTCCCTAACCACCCAGTCCAGGCGGCCCCCCTTTTACTGCAGACTACAGTAACCCAGGCGGCACAAAGCACCACGAAAGAGGCACGACAGATTCTGCCTTGGGAAGAGGCACAGGCGGAGAGTGGTTTGGAGATGAAAGCTTAGCGTTTCCCTGATGTGAGAGGGCAAACGAGGCAGGCGGCAGGCACGGTGACAGCTGGGGGACAGCCAAGAAGGAGAGCAGAAGCCCCCCGGCTGCAGAAGCCTCAGGTCCTGCTGGGGAGTCTGTCCCTGCTGAGGCAGACGTGCCATGGGACACCTGAGAGGCACTGCCAGGCAGTGGGACAAGCAGCCCCGGCTCAGCAGGCAGGGCTGGGCCAAGGATCTGGAAATCAACAGTAACAAGCAGTCTCTGAGTAAAGTAAATCGGCTTAAAAGCATTTTTGCGTTACATTTTACATTATACAAATGTTTTCAGAAACATACTCATCATAAATGATCCAAAACACCAGGAAATACGTTCAGTCAAACCAAGAGTAAGTTAATACCACCTGCTCCAGGTTGTCACGTGCACTTAGTGTGTCACACAGTTCGAGAGAGGCCCTCCTTAACTTGGGCTGGGGCGGGGACAGGAGAGAAAAGGCACAAGTGCACGTTGAATCCTCAGTATGGACACTAAGCTAGACCTAATTTCAGCATAATCTAAAACACGGTTAGTTTTCTTCTGGAAGAATATTTTATGCAATCTTGATTTTAGTTTAAGAAAACCATGTCATTTCAAATCAGAATCTGTCATGCAGGTATGGACCAACACAGTCTCTGCTTCCAACTCATCACTCTGATCCTCTTCATCTAACGCCTGGGTTTCAGGTCCAGTGGGGCCCCGGCTTTCCAACGCAAACCTGGAATGCCTTTCCAGAGGGCATTATACACACTTGCTCGTTTGGCTAGAAAGAGGCTGGGAAGGAAGCCATGTAGAAGAATGTCTTGCTGTTTCTAGTGGCAAGAGCTTGGGGAATGTCCACCCACAGAGTCCACCTACATGACATGATGCTGTGAGGCCACAAGAAAAACAGAAGACCTATATATACTGTCACACAAAGACCTCCAAGCCACACTGTTACATGGAAAAGAAAGTACTCCAGTATCATCCCATTCACGTTAAAACAAACTGTAAACTAAAACCCGTACACTCTATGTGCAGACATGTGAAAGCACAGAACAGATCTGAAAGGCTCCTCCCGTGCTGGTCACATGGTCCTAAGGGCACGTGGCTCTGAGCTGGACGGCACTGAGCTTCTGATCAAGGTGACCCAGCAGTGTCTACGAGAGGGTGGAGGGAGGAAAGGAAATGAGGGACCAGCAAGGCCAGGACTCCAAGTCCAAAGACCTGAATTTCTAGTCCTCGTCCTGCAGAAAGCAGGTGCCCAACTCAGGCACATCCTGAGTCTTGGCTGCTTGTCCACCGCATCGGTGAGCTCACAGCCCCTCCTGACTCCAGCGCCCATGAGTCCACCACTTCTGCAGTTCAGGACATCACAAGCCACCCGCACTCACGGGCCGAGGCTGTGTCCAGCCATCTGTGATGTGGTTTCCATGGACAAGTGTGACCAGAGCCCCCGCAGGAGGGTTCCGATGTCCACTGGAAACAAGAGGACGCGGCACTGACCCTCGCTGTCCTGAGAAGCAACACAGTCCCATCAAGGTGTGGTATGGAAGCACTTTATCAATTTTTCTGTCATGTTCGGAGGGGACACACAATTTAAAGCGGAGTGTGCTATCCAGGATTAGAATTGGCAACATAACCTGGGTACAGAAACGAGGAGAGGACAAAGGCCCTGAAGATGACTCAGGGAGCTCATCCTTAGAGTATGAGATTTTAGTTTATTTCTCTCATTAGTTACACACTGTGCTTTCTAGAATTTTTGTTATTTAGATGTACCTTTTAAGAGATTGAAAAAAATATACTACAATTGAAAACCAGAAATAAATATAGACACCAGGCAGCAATAAATCATGGCAGCATGGCATTGTGCCCGACAAAAAACACACAGGTGACACTCTGCCAATGCTGACTCAGCTGTGCTGTCCCAAGGGTGGCTCACGGTCACCAGGAAGGGTGTGCAAGAAGAGCAAGTCACACGCCAGGAGTCAGGTCAAACCCCGTGGTTCAGAATGCTGCAAATCTGAATGTGACGGCTGCCCTTTGAGGCGCTAAACTCAAACCTCTGGCTCCTGCTCACCCATCATTTTGGATCTTCTGCTACTGTGGCTTCAGCCAGCAGCCTGGCTCTATCCTTGCCAGGGTCAGGACCAACCCAAATGCTCTCTGCACAGGTCTACGCTGTTGTAAGCTCAAGAGCGTCCCACCAGGTGGGTAGTGTGCTCTTCTGCAACCCCACCGTCCACGCTGCCTCCTGCTCCTGTGTGTGCGGGTTCCTATGCCCCGTCCTCAGCAGCGGCTCAGACTCTCTCCACCCTCCTGACACGCCCCACTTCCCCATCTCCCTCCCTCTACCACTCCATCTGTCTACAAGGCCCCATTTCCTTCTTCCCAGGAAAACCAGATGCTGTCAGAGAACTGCCTCACCTCCATATCCTTCACCCTTTGTGGTAGTTAACAGTACGTGTCAACTTGACTAGGCCTCGGGGTGCCAGGACACTGGGTCAGACATTATTCTGAGTGTGTCTGGGAGGGTGTTTCTGTGTGAGAGTAACATTTAAGTCAAGACGCTGAGAAAGCAGACTGCCATCCAGCCAGCGGGACGCCTGCATGGGAGTTATTAAAGGCTCCCCTCCCTTGAGTAAGGAGCCCCTCCTGCCTGTCAGCCCTGAGCCAGAACACTGGCAATTTCCTGCCTTCGGACTAAAACTGAACCGCCAGTTCTTGCTAGGGCCTGAGTCTGCCAACCTTCAAACCAGCACTATACAATGGTTCTCCGAGGTCTCAGGCCTTCCGACTTGGACTGGAACTTACACCGACGGCTCTCCTGCTCCTCCAGCTTACCGACTCACCCTGCAGATCTTGGGACTCAGCAGCCTCCGAAACTGCACGAGCCGATTCCCCTTCATCAGTCTCTCTCCAAGCATGCACGCACGCACGCATGCACACACACGCCTTCTGCTGGTTCTGTTTTCTCTCAGGATCCCTGACTCCCGCATCTCCCGCCCTGCTCCTGTGGAAAAGGCACCCCAGAGCCACGCCTGTGCGCTCTGGACAAAGTCTTTCCCACACTTAGAGACTCTCCTCTTCTGTCACTGCCTCCTCTCTCCCCACCTCCAGTTTCTCTCTGCTGCTCCTCCCACCAGCACTAGACATGCCCACGGCAAAAAACAGACAGACAACTTTCACTCAAAGCCCTGTCCAGCTCCCTCCCCAGCCAAGCTGATCACAATGCAGTCTCCTCACTGGCCCCTCAAGCCGCTGCATCTGGCCTCCACACCCTCGAGGCAATCAAGCTGCCCGTCGCCCCCTGGCTTCCATGCGGCTGATCTGCAATTGGGCCCGTCCTCACCTTCCTAGACCTTCCAGCAGCATCCAGCCCCACGGACATGCAACCACTCCTTCCCGAAACCCTCTCTTCTCCATCCAGACTGACACCACATGGCCACCTCCACGCCTTTCTTTCCTGTGGCAATGCCCACCCCCACCAGAAGGGGACGGTGGAGCACTCATGTCTCCAGGCCCCTGATCTGAGCAGGCAGGGAAGGAGTCCTCCTTTGACCACAGCCGCGATCATCAGTGGCTGGGGATTTCGTCACAGGTGGCTCAAGCTGACAACACTGACCAACCCCAAGCCTCCGAAAGCACAGGCAGCCCGACAGCATGGGCCTCCCAAGGAGGTGACAGGGAGATGCATTCCCCTGATACCCTCTGCCATGGAGTTGTGCTCATAAAGAAATAAACAGGAAAGTGGCCAAATTTCTAGATCTAACTACCAAGTTTACCAGAAATGCACATTAAGACATAAGAGGGAAATCACCCAAATACAACATGAGAAGACTGTCTGGGTTGATTAAAAAAAATTGATTGTGAAAAAAAATTCAAAGATTTGAGAAACTGGAACACTCAGTGAATACGACACATGAAGGAGCCTTTTAAATTACTGGGCTTGTTACGGGGTGATACTGGTAGTTTGGTTAGTTATCTTAAAAACATCGTTGTATTTTAGAGCTCTGCTTCGAAATAATCCAGTGGAGAGGGGAGGAAGCTGAAGCCAGTGACGGGCAAATGGGGCTGTCACTCACTGTCTCAATTTGTACCTGGTTTGACATTTTTCCAAAAGAGAAAAAAAATTTAATTAAATAAACTGAGTGGCCAGGATGCTGGAAGATCCTTAATGTGTTTCTCAAAATTTCTAACAACTAAGAGAACACCGTGCTGGACACTGAGTGTTCACCGGGAACACGGGGAACGAGTCCCTGTGGGAGAAGGGGCGCAGTCTGGATGCAGCCGCCCCACCTGTGGGCTGCAGGGAAGAGGCTGGGATTTGAGGAGCCTGTGGAAAGAGGAAGGAAGGCCAGTGGGGCCGTACTGCGTGAGGACACCAAGAGGAACCTGAGAACCCAGGCCCAGGCGCCCCTGAGGCACCGCCTTCAGCTCCTCACACCACAGTGGGGCCTCCTTGGTCAGCTCTCTGGCCCCCGGCCCAGTGGCCCTCTCGCTCATTCTTAGGGTCAGCTGCTACGTGCTAATGACTGGCTCTGGACCTCAGCTCACATCTCCTCCTGTGGACTGCCCAGGTGTTCCCCACCCTCTCCTCCTCTGCTCCCCGAGCTGCCCGAGCCAGGAACGAGACCGCCAGCCTATCCTGCAGCTGTCCATCAGCAAGACCCATCCACGGTCCAGGCCACCACTGGGCCTCCCCTCCCTGCTTCAACTGTGTCCTGGACAGGCCCCGATACCCTCTGCCTAGCAGTGGCCTCCTCACAAAGCTCCTTCCTTCGAAACCCTTCACTGGTGCCCACTCCCCCTCGACAAAGTCCAGCTCCCCGCACAGCTCACACCATGCCCGGCCAGCCCTGCCCGGCCTCCCTCCGTCGTTCCTCACTCCACCTGCCACGGGTCTGTCCACAAGTAGAACAGAGGCAGGCTGTGAACGGCACTGAAATTAAGTGTTGCTCTCCCAAGGTAGAGAACAGACAGACATTTTAAAAATTATATTTAAAATAAGTCAAAAAAGCTAAAACTAAATTATCAACAATCACTATTTTTATGCTCCACAACACAGAGGAAAGAGTA